GACGCACGTCGCACGGGCCCAAGCCAAGTACCCACGGGCACTCGGCCTGCGGTCAATACACGGCCAGCGGGGGCATTAGTCCGACACCTATCACCAGAGGAGGTCAAACGGTGACGTGAGAAGGGTCTCTGTTTTAAGTGCGAAGAGAAGTTTACCCCGGGGCATCAGTGCAAGCAATCCTTTGTCATTGAGGTGGCCAACCCGGACGACAAAGAGGATGAGGTCGAGGAGGAACCGCCTCAAGACGACGAGACTGAGGACTTCAGAGATGAGCCTGAAATCTCGATGCACGCTATGGCCGGGATACGAGGTCCTTGGACTATGCGCTTACCAGCTTGGGTCAAGGATCGAAAGGTGATGGTGCTAGTAGACAACGGGTCATCCCACAATTTCATCAACGCCGAGTTGTCTCAAAAACTGAACTTGCCAACTATGAATATTGAACCTTTCGAGGTACGGGTAGCCAACGGGGAGAGGCTGCAATGCACTAAGTCCTTCCGGAAGGTGCCAATCAGGTTTAGCGGAGTTACGGTGAAGGCTGATCTATATGCCTTACCCCTGGTTGGACCAGATGTAGTGCTGGGCGTCCAATGGCTCGAAGGACTAGGCAAGGTAACGACCGACTATCGAACAGGAATTATGGAGTTCAACTCCGAAGGTCGTCAGGTCACCCTTAGCACCAGCACTGACAAGGAAGCTAAGGAAGTAGGGTCGAAGAGCATCGAGAAAGTTTGGCGTGGCGGAGGCCAAATCTTTGCCGTAGTAGTCGAAGATGTGGGAGCGCACTCGAGCAAGGACGCGCAACAACAGGGAGATGTGCGTGAGCTTCTCGAAGAATTTGAAGGAGTCCTGGGCGAGCCCAAAGGACTACCACCGCACCGGGAGTTCGACCATCGCATACCATTGGTCAACGAACAGCATGCCATACATGTCCACCCTTATAGGTACGCTCACTTTCAGAAAACCGAGATCGAGCGGCAAGTGGCTGAGATGCTTGAATCAGGTCTCATACAGCATAGCAAGAGTCCGTTCTCTTCTCCAGTTCTATTGGCTAAAAAGAAGGACGGTACATGGAGATTCTGTACCGACTACCGAGCTCTAAACGCTGCAACTATCAAGGACAGATTTCCAATCCCCAGTGTCGACGATATGCTTGATGAGTTAGCCAGATCACGCTATTTCTCTAAGCTCGATCTAAGAGCTGGCTACCATCAGATTCGACTTCACAAAGCTGACATCCCAAAGACAGCCTTTCGTACACACCAGGGGCACTATGAGTATCTGGTTATGCCATTCGGCTTGTGCAACGCCCCATCTACTTTCCAGTTCGCCATGAACTCTATTTTCAAGGAGTACCTACGTAAGTTCGTTCTGGTATTCTTTGACGATATCCTGATCTATTCGAAGTCATGGGACTAACATCTTGGGCATCTAAGGATAGTTCTCGAAATTCTGGAGGCCAACTCATTCCACATCAAACCGTCCAAGTGTTCATTCGGGCAGGAGATGGTTGAATATCTTGGACATTTCATATCACATGACGGTGTGAAGGTCGACCCACGAAAAATTGAGGCTATGGTCGACTGGCCTAAGCCAACTAGTTTCACACAGTTGAGAGGATTTTTGGGGCTTACAGGATACTACCGGAAGTTTGTAAAGGATTATGGAACCATCGCCAAACCGTTGACAGCAGTGACTAAAAAAGGCGGGTTCACATGGACCGAAGCTAGCGAGAAGGCATTTGGAAAATTAAAGGAGGCGATGACAACAACGCCAGTACTCGCCATGCCCAGATTTGATGTCTTGTTCGAGGTACATACCGATGCAAGCGACATTGGAATTGGGGCTGTGTTAGTACAAGAGGGGCGACCCCTAGCCTATCTCAGCAAAGCGCTGGGCACTACCCGACTGGGTCTGTCAGTATACGTGAAAGAGATGTTAGCAGTTGTCGAGGCTGTACGATGTTGGAGGCCCTATCTACTAGGCCGGCGATTTCAGATTGTTACCGATCAGCAACCGCTCAAGCACCTATTGGAGCAAAGGATTGTTACCCCCGAGCAACAGAAGT